GAATAGAATAGAATAGAATAGAATAGAATAGAATAGAATAGAATAGAGGAAGGGGTCAAGCTATTTTCTAAAGTGCTTGTAGGCCAGGCAAGGAATAAAGGATGGAAGCTGAACAAGGAGATCCTGGAAATAAGGAGAAATTTTCTGAGAGGGAAAACAGTCAACCAACAATGGAACAGAAGTTGCCCTCGGAAGTTGTGGGAGCGCCATCACTTGAGACCTTCAAGAAGAGATTGGACTGCCATTTGTCAGGAATGGTGTAGGGTCTCCCGCTTGGGCAGGGGGTTGGACTAGATGACCTATTAGGTCCCTTCCAACTCTGATTATCTGTTATCTGTTATTAGAATAGAATATAGAATAGATTAGAATTAGAATAGAATAGGAGGAGGGAAGAAGGAAGGAGAATAGACTAGGAATAGGAATAGAATAGAATTAGAATGCAGAATAGAAAGGAGGAGGAGGAGGAGAAAAAAAGGAAGGAGAATAGAATAGAATAGAATAGAATAGAATAGAATAGAATAGAATAGAATAGAATAGAATAGAATAGAATAGAATGCAGAACAGAATAGACTACAACAGAATAGAATAGAATAAATATAGAATTAGAGGAGAATTAAAGCAGAACACAATGAATAGAACAGAACAACAGATTAGATTAGACTAGATTCGAGCAGAACAAAATAGAAGACAGAATAGAATGAAGAGAATAGAATGAACAGAATAGAATGAAAATCCTAGGGCTGGAAGTCTTGTAGTCCAAGGCAGGAGAAACCAGGGGAAGCTTTTAGATGCCATTTTGTGCTTGCAGGCCCAAATCGTTTTGGCTTGCAAGAAGAGACTGTGCAGTCCCTTCTCTGAAACGGTATGCGGTTTCCTGCTTGGGCGGTGGGGTGGGGGGGGGCAGGTTGGACTAGAAGACCTTCTAGCTGAATATGCTACATTTGCCATCCTCGCAGTTCACCCCAACCTGGAGCTGTTCAGAGTCACTAAACCGCAGGGAGCGTCATCCTCAATTCTCAACTCCCCCTCCACCCCCCGCCCCCCAAAAAAGTTTTTCTTCCCAGATATTTTCCAACAGCCAAAAAACAATCCAATGATAGAGGTTTAAAATAAGTCTGGCGAGGCGCAACAGCTGGACCTTGACTGACCCCTCGTGGCCGTCCCATCCAAGCGCAGGCAGAGGCTAAAAACCTCGGGTGCCGTGGGAAAATCCCTCGGGCATCCCCACTTCGACGTCCTTCACCATCCCCGGCAGCGAAGGCTTCTTCTCACCATCTGAACGGAACGGCGAGGGGTCGGCTGGATGAAGAGGGAGGGTCTTGAGCCTCTCTAGGGACACCAGGAAGTCTTGCTCCCTTCCAGCGGGTGAGGCTGGCTGCACCCCAACCTGGATAACAGGTTGAGAAGCGACGGGGAGTCTCTCGCTACCTGGACTCTTCTGGGATTGAAGAGAGAGAAAAAGAAAACGATCCACGCCAGTTTTAAACCATTTTGGCCTCTCCCCCCCACCCGCCCCCCAATTTTGCAGGTATTTCTGCTAAACCTGGACCGACAATTTGGGACAGTGGGGTTAAGAAGAGTCCTGGCTTCGTCAGGGTCAGGCTGGATGACCTCGAAGGTCCCGTCCCTGCCCTTTAACTCTTCAGCGGCATACCTCCTGCCCGGAAGGTGAGCTCTGCCCTGCCTTCTTTCTCTGAGACATCCCCGGGTTCCAGTGGCAAACAAGGCTGTCATTTTGGACGCTGTAGTTCTTATTTCCTAGCAACCAGTAAGTTTTCATTTTCCCTTTGCCCTCCAAAGGGAAGGAGAGAAAGAGAGAAAGAGAGAAGGAGGGAGGGTGGGAGGGAGAGAGAGAGGGAGGGAGAGAGAGAAGTATTCAGCCAAACACGCACAGAGCAGAAAATTAAAATAAGTTTAATTTTGAAACACCTGGGACGAAGCCTTTAAAAATGTAAACCGGGAAGCCCCAGGTTAGGAGATTTCGAGGGACAAACAAACATCTTGCTCTGTTTTTTTCAAGGATGAGATGTCCTAAGTCCCTTTGATGAGTGCCGTTGGAACTTTGAACGGTCAGTAAACAAACTGTTGTAAGTTGAGGACTAGCTGTAAGCTGTTTGGGGTAGGGATGTTTCCTTTTGCTGTGCTTCTTCCCATTAAGAACAGAAAAAAAATCTCTTTTTTTTGAAGGCTACCCCAAATAATATCCCGTTTCCCTGAAAAATACGACCTACCCTAAAAATAAGTCCTAACTTGATCTTTACGTGTGTGCCCAATATAAGCCCTACCCCCCAAAATAAGCCCTAATTAAGATCTCGCCAACTCCCGAGTGGACAGGTAAAAATTAAGCTAAGGTGGGGATGTGGAGGGTGGAGCTGCCCTACTGCTTACCTTTGGACAATTGTAGTCAGGCCTCGCATACCACGATACCTGCCTTGGCGGCCCGTTTCTTCTGCAGCCGGCATGGCTGGCAAGGCTTTCCTGACGGCCTCTGTAGGTGATAACAAAGCTCAGGATCGATCCAGAGCTCAGTTATGGACTGCAGAGGTCTTCAGGAAAGCCTTTGCAGCCACAAAAGAAAAAGTTCCCGAAGGCCTCTGACAGCGAAAAGGAGGCCGGGGGCGACGCGCGCAAGTGAGGTTAGTCCAAGGGTCTTCAAACTTGGCGAGTTTAAGAGTTGTGGACTTCAACTCCTAGAATTCCTAAGCTAACGTGACCAGAGGAGGAATTCTGGGAGTTGGTCCATGAGTCTTAAAGCTGTCACATTTGAAGATCCCTGGGTTAGTCAGTGGATGACATCCCCGTAAATAAGACCTGGTGCCTTTTTTGGTGGCAAAAAAATATAAGACAGGGTCTTATTTTGGGGGAAACACGGTAATAATGAAAATACTAACCTTCACCTCAATTTCTCCTCTGAGCTCAATTTCGTAGGCGTCATCTTCAAGCAGAGCTTGGTAGGTGACTGAGCTGATGTGTATTTTCTGAGCTAAGGAGGGATCATCAAAAATATCCTTTTAAAACGCTGCTGTGATGACCCAAAGGGGCGTGGCACAAAGGCAACACAGTCAGATAAGCAATAAGAGTCCCTTTATTATTAGTTCCAACTTTGCCCCAAATGTCCAGGTTATCTTCTGGCTGGAGAAAAACTCTCCCAGGAACAGCCATTGACTGCAGAAAATTAAGTCCAAAACAAGGTACACACAAACTGTAACTTAAAGTAATTAGTTTGGCAGGGCAGGAGGAAGAATTTCAGACTTGAAAGCACAGCAAAACTCACATAGTTGGGAAGACTCCAGGAACACAGATAAGCCACGACAATACAAGATAAAGTGACATTTGCTCCCAACAGCCTGCTGCACGCAGCGCGCCTTTTTTATACACTGTGTTCCCAGCTGCAGCTAATGAAGGGAATCAGGGCCCTTGCCTCCCCTGTAAGCCACACAACCCACGTTGCTCTCTTCTCCCTTCCTCTCTGTGTGCTCTAGGACAGCAGTTGCCAACCGGTGGGCCACGGCCCACTGGTGGGCTGTGATAAAATTTTGCTGGGCCACAGAGAACTCTCACCCCCAGAGTACCCCCCCAAAGTAATTAATCCAGGCTGCACAGGAAGACAAGGCTGCACCGCCCACATGGCCTGTGGGAACCTTCTCTGCCCACTTACTCCTTACCCGGCAAACTTGCCTGCTAAATTATTATTTTTCCTTTTTCTGATTATCCTCTGTTCTGCTATGTCAGGAGATTTAGATTAGCTAGGAATTAGAAAATGGTTGGATTTCTTGCTTTCTAGCTAGTCTTTAGATCTTCGGCTCTGCTTTTAAGTACAGCTGAACCTCCCTCAGGACTGAAGATTTGCTTGCAAGCAAATTCGGTGCAGACGCATGGCAAGCAAATTTGAGAGACTGAGCTAGTTGAGGGCAGATAGATAGATCACTGATTCTGTGAGCAACTCAATCTGCCTCCCTGTTTTGCTCTTTTTTTATAAAAAATAGAAAATCAATCAAACTTTTCTTTTAAAGAAGAAGCTAGTCCTCACCAACTTATGGCAGAGGAAGGAGAAAACTTCCTAAAATCCCTCACTGATTTATCCTACATGAAAGTTATATCTATGAGTATACAGAAATAAAAAATAGTAAACGTACTAATAGGACAGTAAACATATTTCTCGTAGGTTTATATCTTTTTAATCTTTTTAATCCATTGCAAATAAAGTTTGTTGTTGTTGTTTTTTTAAAAAAGAAAGGTTTATCTACTCACGCAGACTGCTTGACTCCATGCGAGAGGCGGTGTTCACCGTGTCACCAAAGAGACAATACCGGGGCATTTTGTGCCCGACAATGCCAGCCACACAGGGCCCTGCAGGAAAGGTGGGGTGAAAAGAGAGGTTGTTAGGCACACACGTGGCCGATGGCCTCAGCCCAGGTGTAAAACAACATGTTAACTCATACAACATTTTGTATACATGTTTTACAGTTGACAACAGAAAGAAGGGTGGGAAAGTTTCAAAGAGCAGGAAGCAGTGTGGAATCGAGAGTACATTCCCTTCATATTTTCTTCGAAGACTGATTAGATGACTGAAGCTTCTGCCGTGCAAAAATCTAACTGGAGAGCATGATTAATGACTCTTGGCTATGGATGTGTTTTGTTGGATGATACACCCAGAGGGGTGGTGGGGAGAGCAGGATCAAGCGTGACAGTGAATTACGTATCTCAGAGTTGGCTACGTCCAGGTTAGTACCAGACGTAGAATGTTACCTTCAAATAAATCCTCTTTCGTTTTGGGAATGTGGCTCGAAGCACATGATTTAATTGGAGTAACTGCCGGAACCCTGACACAACAGTCGGCTCACCTGTGTGAATCCCAGCCCGTAACTGCAGCTTGCTGGTTGGCAGGTGGGGAATCGCAACCTGCCGGACCGCTGCTACCAGATCCAGGGCCATCTTGGCGATCTCATGGGCGTGCCTGGTGCCGTTCCTCTCAGGCAGGCCGCTCACGACCATGTAGGCGTCTCCGATGGTTTCCACCTTGGGGCCCGAAGGAAAATCGGGACCTGTCATGGTTGAGTCCCTTTGCAGCCCCTGCTCGCAACCAGATAACAGTAACGGGAGTGGGGTATGCAGAGGTGGTATTCAGCCAGTTCAGACCGGATCTGGAGAACCGGTAGCGGAAATTTTGACTAGTTCGCAGAACCAACAAATACCGCCTCTGGCTGGCCCCGCCCACATCTATTCTCCACCTCCTGAGTCCCAGCTGATTGGCTGGGTCTCCTTTGGTTGCCCTGCCGAGGAGAACAGAGCTGGAAAGCAGGTTAGTGGGGTGGGGAGGGAAGGGGGATTTTGCAGTCCCATGATCAAAATTTGGATGCTTGGCACTTACGATGGTCGCATGTCCCGAGGTCGCGACATCCCCTTTTGCGACCTTCCGACAAGGAAAGTCAGTGGGGAAGCCAGATTCATTTAACGGCCATGTCACTAACTTAATGTTTGCAGCAATTCCTTTAACGACTGTGCCAAGAGAGGTCGTAAAATGGGGCAAAACTCAACTCAACAGCTGTCTCACTTAGCAACAGAAATTTGGGGCTCCATTGTGGTCATAAGACGAGGACTATCTATGATTTTGGTGGCATTTTTGTTGTCTTTTACCAGAGCCACTTGTTCTTGGACTAGATTGAGCTGCTCTTCCCAACGGGATGCAAAACCTCTGCCCTCCCCCCAGCAGGAGAAGGTGGGCTGACCTTGTAGACGTCGTAGGAGTCGATCCTGGTGTCAAAGCAGATGTAGAGGTTGTTGAGCATTTCCACCACCTGCAGCGGGGTGCACGAGGCCGCGATGGTGGTGAAACCCACAATGTCCGAAAAGAAGATGGTCACCTGCGAGGAGGAGGAGGAGGAAGAGGAGGAGGCAGAAGCCATGATGGTGCAGTGATTAGAATGCAGAACTGCAGGCTAACTCTCTCATCCTCTTTGCTGCTCTTCTCTGCACTCTTTCTAGAGTCTCAACCTCTTTTTTACATCGTGGCGACCAAAACTGGGTGCAGGATTGCAAGGGTGGCCTTACCAAAGGCCTGATAAAGTAGTATTAACACTTTACATGATCTGGATTCTATGATTTCTATCTCTCTGTTAATGCAGCCTAGAACTGCGTTGGCTTTTTGGGCAGCTGCAGCACACGGCTGGCTCATATCACAGAAACCTTAATTTTCTTCTCATGCTCCTGTTTCTGCTCGAGACCCGCCTAGCCGGAACATTTTGATGTTCTGTTTTTAATTTCCCCATTATTTCCAGATGGTTTCTGATACCGTAAACCTCCTCCAGCTGCACATACCCGTAATTGACCAATTAGGGTAATGATGACAGCACTCAAGGAAATGCAAACTTATTAGACAGGGGGAATTAATTAAGGGAGGGGTTTCCCCCCCTCCCCATGTGAGAGGGGAACAGCTGAGGACCAACAAATAAAAGTCAGGTGAGAAACAAAGAGTTTAATAATTAAGTCCCAATTTTGAAAGTTCTTTGATTATGGGCCAATCGGATGTAAAGAGCATCATTATTTTGTATCGACAGAATTAGGGATAGAAGGAACGGCGGGGGGTCTTGATGCTCTTGGTATAACCAAGTGGTCTGATCCCTTCAGAACTTGTCTTACCTGGTCATAATTTTCTGCCTCTACGTGCTTGTGTTTCCGTAGCTGTTTGGCCACGGATTTGGGCAGCATTTGATGAAGAAGGTCTTCAGCTATTTGTCTTTCCTGTTTCAGATCCTCCGTTCGTTCCTTGAGGGTCCTGGCATAATTTTGGATCCATTCGGTCATCTCTTTGAAGGAAAAAAGGACAGCCGGGTAGATAAGACTGGTGACCACCAAGAGGCTGATTTTGAGGCTGACCAGGGAGACGATATCCTTCGATTTCTTCTGTAGCTCCTCCCGGCTTTTCTGAAGCAAGCATCTCTGGAGGACGTCAAATCCATCCATCAAAGGAGGGGACAGTGGTTGAAATCCTGAGGGAGGAGTGACCGGGTGGAGTCCTTCCTGGTGGGTGGCCAGGATGGAGAAGTTAAGATGCTCAGCCCAACATTCTTGGGTGCTTTCTGAGATGAAAACAGAAGAAAGAAGAAGAGCAGATAGCCGGTGCCACAAAGCTTGGGCCTCTTCAGGATCGCGGGACATTTCTGGAGCCCGTAGCATGTCGCCTTTGGCTCTCAGGAGAAGCCTGAGAAAGACCACATCTAACCAGTCTGGATTTGACCTCCTCTTTGGGGCCTCTCCCTCCTCAAGCTCCTGGAGGATCTCCAAGATTCTTGCAATCATGGTCAACGGTAGGAATGCCATCCCAGCAGTGCCGTTGATCTCCCTGATGGAGGTGATGTAAGTCGGGCAGCTGAAATGATTATTGCACCAGGATTCTTTGCAGAGAGCAACCCAGCTCTCCAGCGTGTCTTCCAGCCGAGAGTCCTCCTCGACCATGTCTCCTCCTCTTCCTCCTTGCCAATTTGGTTCTTGGACAAGGAGGTTGAACATGGAAAGCGCCAGGAAACTCTGGCATGAAGAGAGGTTGCTGATGGCCTTCTCCACCTGCCTCCGGGACTCCAGAATGGGGCTTAGGTCCAGAGCGGTGTTTCCCAGCAAGGAGAACAAGGAGATGGAGCAGAGGGCCAAGATCCGTCTCACCGCCTTGCTGGCGTGGCAGTCCGACGGAGGGGAAGAACACCTGAAGGAAGGCGGAGGGAAAAGCAGTCAAGTGAAGAGTAAATCCCATCTTCTTCCTCCTCTGTGGTCAGTTCAGATTCCTCCCCATAATATTTTGACAGGGCTGCAGAATGAGGGGAGCCCAAGTGAATAGATCTGTTCTCTCGACCATGTTGGATACACCGTGCAAAGGTGGGTAACGCTTGGCACACTCATATGCCACCACCACAGCTATGTGAGTTATACGCAGGGAATTCTCCAATTGTGGGCATTTAAACACACCTAGGGTCGTATTCATTCTTTTCTTGTACTTCGTTTCTCCCTTTTTTCCTATAATTCTCAAAAATTGGCCTTAGACTCATAAATACATCCTGATTTACATATGTCTCAGGAGGGCATTCCCTTCTTCTGGAGAATTATAGATAGCTTTAAATCATGTGAAAATGATGTTCGTTTATTTTGTAAATTATAGACAGAAGAACCAGGAAATAGTTATTCTCTCTCTCTCTATATATATATATCTGTCTATCTATCTATCTCTAGAGATAGATAGATAGATAGATAGATAGATAGATAGATAGATAGATAGATAGATAATAATTTATCATATCTATCTATCTATCTATCTATCTATCTATCTATCTATTTATTATCTCTGTCTCTATTATATATTTATATTTATCACA